CTCCCGCCCTCCCTCCCTCCCTCCTACCTGCAGAATCGGTGTCTGCACGAATTGACCCGAGTAATTGGCGGTCTGCGTGCCGGCGTCCACGTGCACCGCGTGGATATAGCCCGAGCCGTCGAACCTACCACAGGAAAGGTCGATCCAGAGGAAAACGGCGTGTCAACGTCACGGAGCACCCTCACCCAGGCCCGTTTTGTCCCCCGGGGGCGGAGCAGGCGGGTATCCCATCCGAGAGTATCCCTCCATAGGACTACGACGGTATGCAACAATATCTATAGCTATATATATATATATATACCCTTCCTTGCCAAGCTGTTCCCTCCTATTCTTGACCAGAACCCGTCCTCCTTCCTTCCTTCTCTCGACGCATGTCTCCCACAAAGAGAGACTTCTTGCCATCCTTTCCTGTGAACCTATCCCCTGTTACGCTAAGCCCTTGACCGTTGCCTACCAGTGATATCCTGCCGATATAAAGGCTGGATTCGGTCCGTTGCGTGCGAATAACCCGGTGATCTCAGGGGGTAATTTACCCTCTGATACGGGGATGTTGGCCACGAACAGATCTCCATCCACCGGGGCATAATTCCCCCACAAGAAACGATTGTTCTCACCCCGTGGTATCTGTGTAAGGGGGGATGTGGTTTGTGAGTGCTGGCCCTCGCATAAATCAGGAAAACTAAGCCCGCCACTTTGTCTCTCTGTCCATTCCTCCCACTACCTTGAATGCTTTTACTGAAATATCGACGTACCGTTTCTGATCCTTGCAGCCAGAATACCCCGGACTCAGCCACGGACAAAAGTGCCCCCAACGCACTGCGTACGAGTGGCCAAATACTTCCCATGAATGATCTACAACACGATACATGTATGAGGAGACGTGAGTCCAAGCGAGACAAAGAACGAGACAGGACGAGGCAAGGAACCGTCACATTGTGTCCCTGGAGCTATCTGGCACCGAAAAGGGTTCGAAACGCCCTGATATTATTTAAATACAAGTCCGCTAGGCTTCTATTCACGGATACAGGCAGGAGGCTACTGTAGTGCATACCCGGAAAGGCTTGCGCCTCTTCCTGATATTACCCCATGCACCAGAACCACGGCAGTCGCACATGCCTCTCTTTCTTGCTAGTGCTATCCAATACATCCCCATGTCCTCCTTTCTTCGTCAAGACCCGGTTTTCATAGTCTCCGTGTCTTAAAAAATGCGCCAAGTACGACGCACGTATCGCCTGCGGGCGAGGGGGGGGAACTGCTGGAATAATGCCTTGCTTCCAACACCTTGGAAGGAAATCAAAAAACCGCGCTGCAACGCGTGCTTCGGCACATTTCTTGTCTATATGAGAATCATCCATCGATGGCGATGAGGATGTGCGTTCTGAGCGGGATAGTTTCTGAAGATTGTGACTTGGGCCCTTAAAATGAGCAGCGAAGGGTCCCCCCCATTAGTTCGGAATCAGGAACATACCTCTTCTTTTCACATCAAGGTATCAAATGCCGTGGTTTCGCTGCGTCCTCACAAATGTTTTCACTTTTGTCATAAAGGCGACGAAAGCAATTGCACGATGGATCAGCTGGGAGACTTGGATCATGAAAAACTCATCACGGCGGGCTTGGTCACGCAGGGGGTGAGGGAGGGAGGGCAAGAGGGAGGAAGGAGAGAAGGGTGGAGAGAGGGAGGGATTTAAGCAAAAAACGAAAAATTGGGCATTCGAAAGATTTTAACGAACTAGGCGGGGCAAGATTGTCCCCGAAATGCCACAATCAGACGGATTACGGCAGGAAAGCGGACAAGAACACGGTTTGTCAGCACGGTGAAAGCGGCAATTCACGATCATAGGAGCAGCTGCCATGGTACTTACCATAACGCACCCCTTCCATCCCCGTCTCACAGGTCTTTGTCCTCTGCTACACCATTTGCTCCTTCGTCGTCGCCAGCACCGCCAGTACGTACCGTTTTCCTCCCCCTCCTCACTCCCTCCTCTTTCCCCCTCTCCTTCTCGGCCTCACCCTCCTCTCTCTCCTTGAATTTCCCTCGCTCCTAGACATGGGATTCAATGCCGTGCTGACAGCGCTGCTCTATATATTCTACGTGGCGGGCACTTACCATGTCCTTCAGCGGTCGAAAATGCCATTGGCGGTGCGTCATTCAGAGGGAGAGAGGAAAATTGGGAGGGCAAGAGGAAGGAACAAATTGCCTGGAAGGACCTTGGCTCAATCGACCGACTCGCTCTGACGCCACCTCCACGCTTCTCTCTTTTACGGTCCTGCCCTTCCCTTTCCCTCCCTCCCCTTCTTCTACCAGGTGGGATTCGTGTTGGGCGTCTCGGTCATGATCACCTTCCTCTCGCTTATGACGGCCATTTTCTGGGTGAGGCAGGGCGGGAGGGAAGGAAGGGAGAAATTTGCCTTTCGGAAAGCTAGGACGGCCACGTGCACGGAGTGCTTTGGCCTCCTGTGCCCGTACGCCTCGACTAACCCTTATCCTGGGAGACTTCATTTAGATGATTCCAGCGACTACTTTATTAAGATGATTACAGCGACTCCTCTGTTTCCTTGCGTGAGACCGACTCTCTTTGTAGCGTCCCGGCTCTAGG